AGTGTGTATTTCGAGGATAACTGACTAGACACGACTGTCACGACGGGGTGTCAGGCCGTCAAGTCCGAATCTTGTATTACGTCATCGTTTCTTTTTTACCAACCACAAAGGTTTTTATACTACAGTATTTTTCTTTTTGGCCGTGTGGTGACGGATTAAGAATACGCAATGTCACCACCCCTATTTATCCCGTGGGTGTCGTAAGAGCCGATTAAGGGAGTTAACTACGCAAGACAACAGCACTGCAAAGAGAAGGAAAACTTGACACAAATCCTATACCAACCCGTCTTCTTTCTAAGGAGAGACCTATGTCCAGCAGTGGACTGTTGAAGGCTGTTGATGATGTGATTTTTCTTTTCTCTATTGAAGTTTTATATGTCTTTTCTTTTTCGTTTTTGTCTTAATATCTTTCTAGCCACTTCCTTTTTCATTCAGTCCTTCATTTCATTGCAAAAATTATCTCATTAAACGTTACGGTTTGGTAATAATAGTAATAAATACACATGGCATTTTATTCCTTCTTTTTCAGATTTTTCAACATAACTTAGTGATATTCTTAAGGAACATTGTAAGAAGAAATTCCCATGACTTGTATGTTTAAAGTATGTTAACACTTATCAGTTTCAATTATCTAGAATGTTATCTGTTTTATTCTGTTTATATCGAAATTTAATCGTGTTGCATCGTCATCTTTGAACATGTCTTTTCAATTTAGTTGATTTTGTTTGCAAAGTGGGAGGTCATGGTTCCGCACGTATGGACCGCCTCGACCGGAGTCACACTTCCTCACAGAAAACCCGGAGACAAACAATGCTTTCATTGCGTTTTATCGAGCGAGTAACGTTACAGGAAGCCCAATTCAACCTTAAAATAAATGTGACAGTGTGTAGTAAAACAAAAACATACACAGTACCATCTAACGAAAACACTAAACAATGAAGTAGTAGTTGCTAACCTGTATCGCGATATAAAAAGTTCTCACGGTGATTAGCATAAATATTTCTAACAACTTCAAAACAGAACAATATCGGAAGATCCTCTATTGTTGAAGGAACGTAGTTCGTTTCCTTTACACACTACACTATCAATAAATAAAAAATACAAATATGTTTTACTAACACAGTACACCAAGTAACATTAGAAAAGGTACCCTTTTATTTTATATATTTATTAATGTATTCTATTTCGTTATCGTTTTATGTACCCGTAACAACATCCCAGTATTTAATACCAATTTATACGTGAGCAAATATAAAACTTAGTGTACGTGTGCAAGAATAAATTAACTTTTTTTGATAAAAGCGTACGTTCGTGCGTGTGTAAATTAATATAAGCGTTTATCCCACCATCTTAAAGTATCTATAATCTATATATTGTTGATTGAAAATATAGTACTCACAATTTTAGAAAGATATTCTGAATTCAAAGGCTACATCGCACCTTTAATAATAAACTGAATTAATTCAAAATTTACGTTTTTCGAGTTTTTAACAAATACCAAATCAACTTCATCAGTAGAACACGAACAATCCAACAGGCGACTCGATACCATGAAAATCGCGAAGTTGAAGTTGCGCGCTCTCGCTTGCACTTCAAGCCTTAAATGGAACGCCTCAGAGCGAGGTAACGCCGCATGAGTCATGTTTTTTCGTGCGTGCAGCCGGCTCCATCGAATTATAAGACGTTTTCACGTCAAAAATAAATGCCCACTAAAAATAAGGTTCATGTAATATATTTGTAAGCCGTATACTACTGCCAGTTTACTACGACCGATTTATAACACACATCGCATCAACACGCATTAATGATAGACCGGGTTATAAAGTAAAGAGACTACAACAGTCCACCTTCAGGATTCACCAACAGATCAACTCCAAGATGCTAAATTGTAGTATGACCATCCAAAGTATATACTTAGATGTATATGTATACATACTACGTTTTATTTCGATACAATCATTTCACTTAGGTAGTTTTTGAATTAGGTAGTTACAAGTAAAGCTAATAGAAGACTGTTGCCAAAATGACTCATTTATATTGAATTACTACTAGCTTATCTATGAACCATGAATGAATAAAAGACAAGGCCCCTGTCAGAGGGCGAGAAGATGCGGGTAGGCCCCGAAAGACTAATATAAAGATCAGAGAGCCTAGTGTGTGATTGTTTCACTTGAAATCGATGGTCACGTTGACCGCTTTACGTGTTGCGAACGCTGACAGCGGTTGCCGTCGAGAGCGAGTTGATGAACTCGCACTAGGCCCTTTGATCGCCATTATACTAAAGAATAGCTTCATAAAAAGCAGCGGTAACCAGCGAGTGCTTATAAAAGGCCCGATGAATTAAAATATTGAGTTTGTCAATGTGAAAATATTATGAAAATGATGAAAATATTTTTTTCTTCGCCTTTCAAGTATAGTTTTTTACTTAACTGTTAGCCACAAGAATGTGTATTTAATGTACTAAAAATTCACACACATAAAGTCTTTATCTATTGAGATATTAAAAGATTAACGTTCTATCCTAGCAGGAAATTGTGATAAACACATAATATTAATCTTGGCAATATCTATTATAGTAAATAGCTTCATAGAATCGATTATCGAAAAAAACACTGTTATTTATTTCTTGTGATATAACATAAATGAGATTTTTCCTTATACTAAAACAAACAGTAAGAGCATCGACACCCAAGACATACTGGCACTGCACAGGTCTAGTGACGTGTGGAGAGGTTTAAGCGGTCGCCACGCCGCTTCCTACTACGCCGAGTGTTGTGGGTTCAAACCCCACATGTGTGATCCACAAATTGTTGTTCTGAGTCTGGGTGTTCTTTGTGTATGTTTCGTGTATGTTTATAAAGTCCCCCGCGACACAGGATATATTCCTAATGCGGGAGCTGTCTTTTTAAAAAGAAAAGTAAGAAAAGACTTATTACTGTAAAAAATATATCAACATCTTGATTATCAAATTGTACTTTTCTCGTCATCAAACGTCTTTCCTGTTTATAACTTAATAGTACATAAATACATACACGATCTCACGCACACACACATACACGTGACTCCTGCGTTGCGGGCGTTCATGGGCGGCGGTATTCACTTATAAGAAGGTAATACTCGTAGGAGATGTTTCTTGGCTCTAGCAGGTCAAAGTCGTATTCTCGAATTAGCTATTGCCGTAATGATCGAGCTCAAACATACAATTATTTGACGAGCCTGTTTAGTGGTTAGTCACACGGACTGCTAATCCGTAATAAATGTGGAGGTCGTGGGTTCGATTCTTATACAGGACAATAATTGTGTGATGAGCACGATCATTTCTTCTGTGTCTAGGTGTAATTTATCTATAATATGTATGTATTTAGAAATATATAAGTATGTTTATCAGCAATCTGGTAACAATAACACAGGCTCTTCAATAGTTTGGAATCAAACTGCCGTGTGTGAGATATGTAAAGTTATTATTTAAGTTTGTATGATTTAAACAGTCTGGTTACCAATACGGTCTGCATAATTTGTTATCCTAATTCCGTATATGATATGTGAAAAAAATTAAATAAATTGTAAAAGAAGTGGAAGTTTTGTAATATAATATTGAATATTTTTTAAATGGATATAACCCATACACAAATTTTTAATGGTGTATGGGTTATATAGATTATTCGGTGGCTTTTTCGTAAAAAAATCAGATCATCCGGAAACATAAATTTCAAGTTACACACAAATCTTGAATTGATGTGCCATATATTTTACAAGTGAGTACACTGCAGGACGTCTACTAAAGGATATAACTCGTTAGTGAAAATGGTGTTTCCTGTCATTATTTATTTCGTTTTTATTTATTTTAGTACTGTATCACTTAACTCACTGTAGTATATCCTCGTATATGTACTAAGTAAAATAAATTTTATTACCGTTCTAAAGACCCACGTATGTTTCTATTCATCATTATAATATTTAAATACCAGGCCATTATGAAAATTTTGCGAACGTGAATTTTTATTCAAAGAAATAAATATTTTATAATTCATTTAACACAAATCAAAAAAAATATATAAGCTAGTGTGTTTGTTTATAAGAATAGATTTTCAAAAAAAAAAAAATTGTCAATTTGAGGGTTACTGCAGAAACCAAAAACAGTATCATTTTTACTAACATAATGTGCTCGAGGGACGGATAAAATAAATTGACGCAAACGAAGTTTAGTTAATTAAAATTAATAACTTAAATAATGATGAAATAGCGCTATCTACTGATAAAATCTAAGTTACCAATGAAATAAACATTTTACGAAAAAAGATTAAGTTATTAAGTGTGACGGGCCAGTGATTCAACTTGTAGGAAATTACTAATGGGTCAGTGATAAGGTAACCTTGAAATGTGTTAGTACAGTATGAGTAAGCATTAAACCCATTATGGGATTTAATAAACAAGAACAAACACAAGTTGTATGTAAACAATAGTAGTAATAAAAATAGCGCGGGTACAAATGACGTACTAATCAAAACATTAAAATTTAAAATGAACATAAAATGTATTTATTTATTTAAAATATGACTACCTCGGTGGTGCAGTGGTAGCGCATGCGACTGCTGTGCTGAGGTCTCGGGTTCGTTTACCAGGTCGGATCAAATGTATCTGCAAATATTTATTTCGAACTTTGGGTGTTTTTCATGTATAATATGTCAGTATTTACAAAAAAAAGAATATAAATAAGTATTCAATCAGTCAATCTAGCTTTCATAGTACAAGCTCTGCTAAATTTGAAACTAGATGGCGTTGTGTGTAAGACGTCCAAAAATATTATAAATAAAAAAATAGGAAATTGTTTTAACTAATGGTACACCATCATAAAAATATGGAATGATTATTTTAGAGAAATAAAGGGACAAAGATATATTTTTTAAGATTTGCTATTCAATTCATTACCTTAAAAAAGATGCGATATAAAATAGTCTCTATTTATGCATTGTTAACCTATTCATTTCTTTTTTTTTCAGAGTAAACTTTTCACTTCGAAATCAAATGCGTTCGAGCTCGAAACGTTGGAGATTCACAACAATTTAAGAGCAGAGCATGGAGTACCACCGCTAGTATTAAGTAAAGAAATAAGTAAACACAGTCAAAAATGGGCTGAAGAATTAGCCAAGAAGGATGAAATGGCCTATAGCCTGAACCAAACATATGGAGAAAATATATATTGTGGTTGGTCAGCAGATCCAAACATTAAAATAACCCCAAACGTTTGTGTAGAAAAATGGTATAACGAAATAAATGAATTTTCGTTTGGTAGAGAACCAGAAGTACTCACATGTGGCCATTTTACACAAATTGTATGGAAAAACACAAAGGAATTGGGTGTTGGAAGTGCGAAAAGCAAGTCTGGTAAACTTTATGTGGTTGCAAACTATTACCCTCCAGGGAACTACAGCGGACAATTTTCCAAAAATGTTTTACCTCCTGGTGCTAATCAATTTCGGGAAAGTATTAGCTATAGATCATCTAACAATAATTTGTCGTCTCCATCTTCAAGTCTAAGGAGTAGTAAAAATATAAGTGATCTAGCGTCAGATATAGTAAGCAAATTTAAATCTACTAGTATATCTAACGAGAAATTTGAAGAAGATTTATTGGACGCACATAATGAGTACCGAAAAATGCATGGAGTACCTGCAATGGAATTAAATAGAAAACTTTGCAAGTACGCAGAAGAATGGGCAAAAACATTGGCAAAAAAAGATCAAACTGAGCACAGAGATCAAAATGAATATGGGGAAAATATTTTTTCAGCGTGGTCTTCTGATCCCAATTTTACAGTAACTGGAAGACAGCCTGTTGATAAATGGTACAGTGAGATAAATACTCATAAATTTGGTAAAGAACCGACCGATTTAGGTTCAGGGCACTTTTCCCAGGTTGTTTGGGAGGACAGTAAAGAGGTCGGCGTAGGTGTAGCCAAATCGAAAGAGGGCAAGGTTTACGTAGTTGCTAATTATTATCCTCCTGGCAATGTGATTGGAAGTTTCGCTACTAAAGTTAAGCCACCCATTAACCTTTAATCTACCTAATTTTTAAGCCAAAGAAACATTCCTTAGAAATGTAGTTTAATTTATTTTTATAGAAATATCGTATATTTAAAATTAATATAAAAATTGTGACATTCCCTATTAGAGTTTTTAATTTAAGTTTATACTCATTAAAATGAATTTGAATCTAACTAAGGTCAACATGTACGTTATAGATCACAAAATAAAATAAGCTATATAATTTCAGCTTATTAAGCAAACTATTGAAAGAGAGGCAATTGAGTCCTGTAAAAAGTTTGTACTACAACGTGACACCACTTTCAACTGACAAGTTCATACATTCCAATATCATTCAGAAACTAAAGAAATGGTTTTGATCTATTCAATTCACCGTTATGGTCACTGTAATCTTTATTCAAAACTTTAAACGATTTATGAGAAAATCGTTCAGGATGTTTTATTTATGTTCACTTTTATACCATATACAATGTTTAATTTTAAATAACTTTTATTTTACTTTTACAATTTCAAATAGAATCACAACAAAATTAAAGGATGGAAAGAGCCTTTAATAACTGATTTTTCTTCTTTAGAACGCGATTACCCTCAAAATCGGGATGTTTACCCGATTTACGACCATCAGCGTTAGCTTGATTTAGATATAATTCATATATCTTTGACTCAAGTGATATTTTTTAAATTCCTTACTACTGTAATATAACTACATTTCTATGTAAGTGTAGTATATACTACAATTGACAATTGACCAAAATTGATAAAGCTACTATGGTACATTCATAACATTTGTTGGGTAAACTATAAAAATAATATTTTTACAGTTCTAATTTCAAATTCGTATGTACCACAATTAAAAACTATATGTTTTTATAAGCATAGGCATATGTGTAATAAACACCAAGTACTAGTGAAATTCAGTTTTTTTATGTATTGAATACATTATACACATATAATGTACAGTACAGTATACAAGGTGTAAGAGACGGTGTAACGAATACTGAAATAGTGTATTTAGACCATCATTTTGAGTCATTGGTCAGTTTTTTTACAATTCCCTCCCCCTGTCGCCAACTTGTGTTAGTGTGCGTAGACTGTTTGCACGGAATACAAATGTAGTTATTATTTTTGTGCAATACCTACGGGGAATGATCTTAAAATTTGACAACTGATTTCATAATACGTTTAATTTTGCGGCAGAAAATTTCAATGATTTTCGACTCAGAATTATGATCTCAATACACTATTACGGTTTTCGTTACACCGTCCCTTATACCCTGTATGTTTAGTGTAACGATGCCTGTTATTTAATATAATATACTAAGTGACTTCATCTAACAGTTATCTGTTGGGTGAATTTATCTGAATATCGTATTTTGTTGTTTTATAATAACATGATTAAATAAATTTATGTTACGACACTAGAAAACTGTAAGTTGTAACATAATTTGATATTATCTGTCAATAGAAAATTAAATAAGATAGACAAAGAATTTGAATTAGGAAGAACGTAAGAATTGTATTTTATGTGAAAAGGACTAAAACTCTTTGGAAGAGATAAAAATTATCAAATTTTATTGCAAAACCGAATTTTTAAAAGTGAAATACATTTTGTTGTCCAGCCAGTGTTAAATTGTTCAATATTCTAAACCGTGAAAAGGTTAAAACGTGAAAGGTGCTTCATATTGGCCTTCAACTGTTCGCTTCGAAAACTTACCCACAAACTAGATGTAGATAAAGCATGAATCGCTGCAAGGGTATCTACAAGCACACTTTTGAACTGAAATTTATTACAACTCCCTTAGTTGCAATCTGATTCTTATATAAATGTGTGTAAATTTCAAATTAATTTGTTTTTTATTTCTTAACCAGCTTACTAAGGTGGTCAAAGTCCCGTTTTAATTTCGTATCATTCGTTTAATTGTTAAGGACAGGCATTTAGTGGGCTCGTAATATTACAATGGGACCCCGTTGTAATATCAGATGTGTTTTAAATTTGACCCCATTTAAGTTTAAAGGTAGGTATAATATTAAACTTGTAAAATATTTCATTTTTATGGTCTGTGTCGTTGTTCGTGAGGTTTAAATGCGAAATGGTTATGATTTATGACCCACTTTGCTTGATTACTTTTTTATTTAGAAATATAGTTTTTATTTTCTTCTGTTCCGTTTAATCGTATAGAGCTGATCCTGATTGTGCATCTAACGTAGAACTTGTCAAAGATAGTAACATTTTAAACTTAATAGTTTAATTTCAGGTGGTACTTGTACTGATTACAATGATTACTGTTTATTGTTAGTCACGTAAACCTAAATCATGTAAGTATAAACATCTCAAAATTTGAAAAAGCTATACCTATACAGACCCTATATCAACCCGTCTGGCCAGCGTGGTAAAGTAGGCCAAAACCTCCTTTCTAAGGATAGGCTTATGTAAAGCAGTGGACTGTTATAGGCTGTTGATGATACCAGACTGTAAGAAACTGTGACGAGGACCAAACTATAAAGATTAATTTATTTTTATTTAAGTATTCATCAACGCTTTATGCCCAAAAATGTACAATAGTGGACTTAATGTCAAAGGTATTCTGTACCAGTCTACCTTATTGTGGTGTAGAAATGAGTGATTCAGGTGTCTACCTAAATATAAAAAAATATAAAAAAGTAAAGAAAAAAAGGTAATTTATCTTCATATACAGTTATACTTCCTCACACATACATACAGAATATAATTTATAAAGTAATACTCTGGTGAATGATGATGAAGCTACATTGTGTGTGAGTAGAATCATTACTTTTGCCTTGAACGAATTGTTAGTACTCCTCATACTCGTAATAATAATAAATTGGCACATTTCACAAACGGCCCCAAACTAGTTAGAACCTGTACTATGAAACCAAGCTGCTGATAAACATCCTTATATATTTCGAAATACATACATAATATATATCTACTCGTGATAAACATGATTAATTATTCTGTGTGTGGATGTAATTGATAAACTACAATGATCGTGCTTATCACTCAATTATATGTCCTGAGGGGGAATCGAACCCACGACCTCTGGTTTAGCACCCAGAGTCATTAACCACTATACCAATAGGCCAGTCATAGTTCAGTTACATGTTTCCTTCTCTTTTCACAAAATCACTCACAGATTGCAGTAAAACCAAAGAAAAAAACATAAAAATCCCTACTATCAAGATAAGTATCTATAAATCGACTATCGAAAATGGAACTCTGAATAAAATCCAGTATAAATAGACACTCATAAGTGTGGTGAGTGTTAAGAATACAGAGTGTCACCACTCCTTTTCATCTCATGAGTATCGTAAGAGCCGGCCAAGGGAGTAAACTACGCAGGACACGCACTAAAAAAAGAAGGAAAACTTGAAACTAATTCTATACAGACCCGTCTGGTATAGTAGAACGAAACCTTCTTCCTTAAAGAAATGCCTTTATCCAGCAGTGCACTATTAAAAGCTGTTGATGATGTCCTCATCATCAACAGCTTTTAGGAGGATTTGGATTTGGAGGATTTGGATGATCTGGCAACCGACAAAAATAATTTCTACATAAGTACAAAACCGTGCAGTGAAACAATTATTAAAAAGTGGGAATGTGAGCTCTCATTTCACGGTATGCATTCAATAACGTGCATCCAGTTGAATTGATGAGATTTTTTTTATTACTGTTTACTTGACATCATGTCACAGTTGTGTTTGTTAAAGTGTTCAATATGAATGTAAAAGTTATAATTTTTTGTTTCGTAGGTTACTTGGTTGGTATTCATTGGATATTTAAATATTGTATTTTATTGCAAATAATATGTGTGTCACAGGACACTAGTATTTTGGGGGAGACTAGTATTTTGTGGATCATTTAAGTTAAACTAAATGCTATGCAAGGGTGGTTCACGTCGGTAGTGTTCCGAACTCTCAACCACTTTATTTCTAGTCCGGTATTCTAACTATTACGCAATTGTTGCTTAAAATGTCCTTATAGTAAAATTATAAAAAATGAATTTTTCTATTGTTTTTAAAGCCATGAATCATCTAAAATGTTTAAAGATATAAAGCATTCATTTTGCCAATGGATTTACCTATGATCGTTTGGCACGTCATCGCGTTTTTTTACCACCTTTTTGCTGAAGAGAATGTCGTAAAAACTAAACTGTTCAACCTTTTTTTAAAGAGATTAACTTGAACATGACTTAGAATTCAAGGAATATCAGAGAACTTAAAATATCCTGAGTCATTTTCCTCATCATAGCCATCTTTCTGTCCTACTTCTAATTATACTTAACGTCGGCGGACCAACTTATTTGAATGAATGTATCTTATATTTATTATTTAGAAAGCTTTCAGTCTTATGTTATCTTTTATATTTCAGCACTGGATAAATGTAAAGACTTTCTTTAACATAGGTTTTCTACTGTTTATAAGGCGTACTCGCATAAGTCGCATATAATAGTTGCCATATTTGTATTGTAATACGATTAGAAAAGAGCTCATGATCTTTGACAGAGTGACCATATTTTTTTAAACTATACTAAAAGCATAATTTCAATAAAAAAATCTACATCAAAATCCGACTATCCGTTCAGGCGCTATTTCACATAAACATACATCGTCAGGGGTTTATACAACAAGATTGTACAATGAATCACGGGGAAATGCTTGTAATACCTACTCGTAAATACGCTACATAGCGACAACTCTCGTAAGTAAAGTACGCTTGAGCGAAATGCAATTTTGGATGGAACGAGAATAAATACCATTTTGTTTAACTAGCTGACCCACGCAACTTTGTCCGCTTCCCTCAAAAAGAATATTTTTTCCCCGTTTTCGTAAAATTTTTCGTTATACAGCGTATATCCTTCCTCGGTAAAAGGAATATACAACACTAAAAGAATTGTCGAATTGGACCAGTAGTTTCTGAGATTACCCGAAACATACAAACTTTACCTCTTTATAATATTATATGTAGTATGGGTAAACCTATAGGTAACGTTTAA